ATTACAACAAATTCACCAAACCAGTGATCTGGAAATGAAAAAAAAAACAAAGAATTAATTGCTATCTTTATAAAGAGAAGCTATATGAACTAAGATTTTTAAGGCTAAGTAGTGAAGCCATGATGATGACGATTTCAGCAAAACTACAGGGATGGTAAACTTTTAGTATGACAAGAGGCACTAAGAAGAAAATACAATGTCAGTTTTAGAAAGAGACAAGATTTTCTTACTTGGTGATAGATGTGGCAGATTATGAATTTATATGCCTAGTTAAAGAGCTTCAACATTATTGTATAGGAAATAGGATGCAATATAATGGTGAAATTTGAACTTTGGTGAAGAGACCAAGGGCAGCAAGACCAATTAGGAGTTTACATGTGAGCATGTGAGTGACTAACCTTTTTTTTTTTTTTGCAAGTGTAAAGCATCAGACATGAAGGTAGAGAAGACTAAAAGAAAAGCAGAAAAGTCTGAGATTTAGAGATAAAATGCACAATAAATCATAAATGAGTCTGGCATTAGCCAAGGCCTTTAGGAAGAACAATTATAATTCTGAAGTTTTCATTTACAAAGCCATATATGGTATAGGAGTAGACAGAGTAGTTTACTTTTGGGGAAGAGATGAAGATATCTCCCCACTACTAGATTATGAGCTTATAAAGGTTTTAATATTTATCATGTTAATTTTTTTATGTGCTGCAACTCTTAGCTTGAGGTCTGGAATACAGTTAATTCATCATATATTTGAAATAAATGAAATTGTGAGTCTGCATGGTAAGAAACTGGGAATCAGCCCACCATGTACCCAAACAGACCCTGGCCAGCTGAAAACCTCTACACTCCACAATTGCCACCATGCTCCCAGATGGACTCCACTGTCCAGATGGGCCTCACTCAGAAATTAATCTGCTAAAAAACTCAGGTATGCTAGTCTTGTGACTGAGATCTCCAGGCTTTCATGGAGTCTGGGATGGGCTACCTTCCCCATCTCCTTGTAAATCTGAAAGTTTAGGCAGTCATGCAAAAGCCCCAAAATATCATCCTAAAAATTTAACTCCAGCTGTATCTCCCCATTAAAAATTCTGAACTTCCTAGAGCAACATCTTAAATTCTACAATACTGATAAGCAAGGAGTAGCACACCAGATTGAATGGGATGTAATGTAGCGGGCAATCAATCTCGATTAACAAAATATAAATACAGAAGGCTTAACCTGTTACATTTTAGTAATCTCTTAAATAAAGACTTACTGGTGCAATGGTGAGATCCTCAAACTTTCTTCTGAGTAAACATTTTTTTTGATCATTCCATTAGCAAATTATTAGTAACAAGCAATATAAAATAAATTATTGAGGGCCCGCTATGGGGGAAGGCTTAAAGAGTGGTTGGGAAAATTGGACATAATGTTGGTGGGAAGGTGTTAGAATATCGAATGCCTAAAAAATAAATAAATAAAAGAATCTGAGAAATGCTAGCTAGGAAGTATGGGGGTATAGGGATTTTTGTAGTTGCATTAAAGTTCCCAAGGGTTGAAATGCTAACGGTGCAAGCAATGAATAATGGTTAAGTATTGTGGCAGAGCATAAAGAGAAGAGAAACTTTCATGCTTTCAAATTACATACATAAATCCTATCATATGGCATCAGTCAATTTATTTGATTTAGCATAATGCCCTTAAGGTATATGCTGGTCTTAAAATGAAAGGCTTTGTTAATTTCAATGACTGAATAATATTACATTGTATATGTACAAGAACTAAATTTTACAGATCCATTTATCTATTAATAAATATCTAGGCTTTTTTCCCCACGTCTTGTATTCTTGTTGAAGGAGAATGGCACCAGGGATATGGTACAGTAGCAGAGTTCCTCTCTTGTGTGGGGGCTTGGGTTTAATATCTGGCACCAGAGTAAAAAAAGGAAAATAAAAACATATAAGTTGGTATTTACAGATACAAGCACAGTGTAAAATGAGACAATGTAAAATGAGACATCCTTTACTTATGAGTTATAAGATGAGTAGATCAGCATAGTGACTAGTTAACAATACCATATTCTTGAAATTTACCATGGGAATAGAACTTTAGCTTCTTGCTGTGACAACAAAATGGTAATTATGTGAGGTAAAAAATGTGTAGCTAGTCTACTTTATAGCATATATGTATATCAAATCATTGTACTGCATGTTTTTTTGCTTTTGGGGTCACACCCCATGATGCTCAGGGGTTACTCCTGGTTCTGCACTCAGGAATTACTCCTGGTGTCGCTCGGGCGACCATATAGGATGCTGGGAATTGAACCTGGGTCAAATGCATGCAAGGCAAATGCCCTTTCCGCTGTGCAATCACTCTAGCCCTATACTGCATATGTTTAATGTATATAGTGTTAGGTGTCAAATGTATGTCAATTAAGTTCAATAGTAGGATGACATTTGAAGTGTGAAGATACTACAAACATACTAACCTTATAAGTACTAAATATTAAGGAATCTTTCAAGGCAATAGAATATGGAGGTGCTCAACTGATTCTACATTCTTCTTTATCATTTCTCTACTCCCTTTCAGTGCCATGACTACAGATATATTAGGGGGGCAGTATTTTTTTAAAATAACAGTTGGCCTGCTGAAAGTTTAAGTTCTATTTCATCTTATCCAAAAGAAGTTTGAAATTTTGGAAAAATTAGTTTCATACCAAAATAAACAAAGAAAGCTGTCTACTAAACACATGCTTTTATATCTATCTGCTTTAATACAAAGTAATTGAACTAGGAGGCTTAATAGCGAGGTTCCTCTAAAAGCTTTGATAGCCTATGTAAGCAAGTTAAGTTTAAGTTTATAATCAATTGAAATGCACTCATATCCAAGAAAGTGAAAATTAAGAATAATGGTCATGGTCACGGTTCTCCCATTGTTCATCAATTTGCTCGATTGGGCCCAGTAACGTCTCCATTGTGAGACTTAATTGTTACTGTGTTTTGGCATATCGAATACATCACGGGTAGCTTGCCAGGCTTTGCTGTGCAGGCGAGATACTCTCGGTAGTTTGCCAGGCTCTCCGAGGGGGCGGAGGAATCGAACTCAGGTCGGCCATGTTGGCTGCGTGCAAGGCAAACGCCTTACCTGCTGTGCTATCGCTCCAGCCCAAGAATAATGAAACACAGTTAAAATTATGAAATTAATAATAATGAAAACTAGGAATATAATAACAGCTAACTAGGTTTTCTTGATAAGGCAAGCACTTAAACTATAGTTAATTAAGTTATGTCTTGAATTTGTATCCTCACCTGCTCTATTAAAAACTTTATACAAATTTCTGATATAGGAATGTTCCTAACCACTCAGTTTTAGCCTGACACATATGAATTCATATTTGCTCAAATAAAACTTTTTAAAATATTGGGGCAAGAGACCTGAGCAATCGTATAGCTGGTAGGGTGCTTGCCTTGCCACAAGTGACATACAAGTTTGATCTCTGAAATCCCATACTGTTCCCCAAGCCTCACCAGGAGTGATCTCTAAGGGCAGAGCCAGGAGTAACATCCTAGCATCTCAGAGTGAGGCCCAAAATAAAAAAACAAAGAAATAAAAGAATTTTAATACAACAATTTATCCATTTGTAATACAAAAGGATGGCAATTTACCTTTATTCCAAGAAAGTAAAACTTTCAAAACTGATGGAATTCTCGGTTCTTCTGGCATCAAAAATTAACTTTCTAATATCATTTCCACCTGGGAATAAGATATTTCTTAAGCAGTAACCTCTGTGGAATTTATCCTGAAAGTTTTATGAACTTCTTGGCCTTTTCTATGTCTGTTCTTTCTGGTGGAAAAGAACAGTTTCCACAGCCTGAACCAGAGATTTTTTCTCTGGGATATAAACAATGTATTTTATTGTCTTTCCTTCATTGATCTAAAATATTATGGCATATATTCTGACCTACTAACATTACATCTTGTTATTTGTGTGACCAGAGCAAGTCACTTAAACTCTGTTTCACAGGCCAAAGTGATTGTACAGCAGGTAGGATACTTGTCTTGCATGTGGCTGACCTGGATTCAATCCCTAGCACCAGAGATGGAAAACAAAAAAACAAACAAACAAAAATCTAAGTTTCAGTTATTTTAGATGTATAGTAGAGTTAATAATAGTTCTAACTCACAATGATCACTCAATGCCTCTACTGCAAACACAACACCCAAAAGGAAAGAGAGAACAAAAGGGAATGCCCTGCCACAGAGGCAGAGTGGGGAGGGGGAAATGGGGTAGGGGTGGTGGGAGGGATACTGGGATCATTGGTGGTAAAGAATGAGCACTGTTGGAGGAATGGGTACTCGATCATTGTATGACTGAAACGCAAGCATGAAAGTTTGTAAGTATGTAACTGTACCTCATTCACTAATAATAAATAAATAAATAAATAATAGTTCTAACTCAAGGGGTTATTCTGAAAATTAAATGACTCACTAACTGAAAATATTTAAAACAGTATCACTGTATCACAGTGATTTAGAACAGTACCTATATTAAATAACACATATCAAATAGTTTTACTTATATTATTTATAATCTTCCATCTGTAACTTAATTTTTCAAAACAAAGTGATGATTCCACTCTGAAATAAACTCATATTTGGGCAACCCAGACTATTACTACTTTGAAAATTATAATCAATTTTCTTAATAGGCCAACTAGTGCCACATTTATTTGGTTTTTATCAATGTCTTCTTATTCAAGAGACAGAATAATCTCCTATTCTATTTTCAATACAAAGCAACTTATTTTATCTATTTTTTGCTTTAACTTTTTTAGATTAAATAAAGCAGTGGCCTCTGCTCATTGAGGTGAATTAAGCTCAGTGATGAGTTAACTGAATGATATACCAAATATCCTGTCGGGATTTACCATTAGGAACCCACCAAGAGAAAAGCTGGGTTCTTGCTGCCACTGCTGCCTGAAGACTCTCTTCCCCTTCCTGAAGAACTGTGGACAAGAACGACACCATGGAGCGGAGAAACCTGAGTGGGAGAGTAAGTGAGTTTGTGTTGGTGGGCTTCCCAGCTCCTTTCCCACTGCGGGCTCTGTATTTCGCCCTTTCTCTGCTGGCCTACGTGTTGGTGCTGACGGAGAACACACTCATCATTGTGGCCATTAAGAACCACTCCACCCTCCACAAACCCATGTACTTTTTCCTGGCTAATATGTCCTTCTTGGAGAACTGGTATGTGACTGTCACTATTCCCAAGATGCTGGCTGGCTTTATTGGAAGCAAAGACGGTCAAGGACAGCTCATCTCCTTTGAGGGCTGCATGACACAGCTTTACTTTTTCCTGGGACTGGGCTGCACGGAGTGTGCGCTTCTCGCTGTGATGGCCTATGACCGCTATGTGGCCATCTGCCATCCTCTCCACTATGCTGTTATTGTCAGTGGCCGGCTTTGTGTGCAGCTGGCAGCTGGCTGCTGGACTGGAGGCTTTGGTATCTCCATGGTCAAAGTTTTTCTCATTTCTCGCCTCTCTTACTGTGGCCCCAACATTATCAACCATTTTTTCTGTGATGTCTCGCCGTTGCTCAACCTTTCATGCACTGACATGTCTACGTCGGAGCTTACAGACTTTGTTCTGGCCATTTTTATATTGCTGGGGCCACTTACTGTAATTGGGGCTTCCTACATGGCCATTGCTGGTGCTGTAATGCGTATTCCCTCTGTTTCTGGTCGTTATAAAGCCTTTTCCACCTGTGCCTCTCACCTCACTGTGGTGATCATCTTTTATGCAGCCAGTATTTTCATCTATGCCCGGCCAAAGGCACTCTCAGCTTTTGACACCAATAAGCTGGTCTCAGTACTCTATGCTGTCATTGTACCATTGCTTAATCCTATAATTTACTGCCTACGTAACCAAGAGGTCAAAAGAGCTTTACGGCGTACTTTACATATGCACCAGGACCAGGGCACTAAGTCTGGGTAAACTAGCAGAGATGGTTAGAAGGGAAGCTTAAGTCTTAGAAAATGCTTGTTATACTTGGGATATACTTTCTCTGAACTCCAGTGGAACTCTTAGGGACTAGAATTTTAGATGATCCACCAAGAAACTATTCAGAAGGAGAAAGGATATATCATCAGTTAATAGCTGTATTTCATGTAAGACAGGACTATAAAACACAGTCTAGAGGCTGGTCCTGTTTTCTGCTCCATTATAATTCGCACAGTGGAGGTAAATATGCATCTGGTGAGAGAAACACAGATTATGAGTAGAAGACAAGACTCTGTGCACTGCAGTAGTGAAACAAGCTAAGAGGTAAAACTGGCGTCTCGCTCAATGACCTTTCCTGAGTTTGTCCCCAGGCATTCATTCTGAGGCAGAGGTGCAGAAAAAAAGAAGATGGAAGAAAAATTACAAGGAAACACAACTTCATTTTTAAAAAGCATTAGAAGATTTCTAGAAGAATATTTTTCTATTCATAAAGTATACTGTCTATGAGGTAACAGTTGCTGTAGGTGATTATGCTAGTGTGAGTTGTAAGGTGAGGAGAGAGTTTTCTCTTGGCAACATCTCCAGGATTGCAGGCTTTCTAACATTATTTTCAAGTTGACTGTAAGCCTCACAGCAGTGGGGATAATATTTGCTGGATCATATTACCATGACCTTGAATAATACCTGTCATAAAATAAATGAATATAATTTAGGTAAGACATATGTGTAACACCTGTAGACAGAGTTAGCAGGTTCAGCCTTTCATACTTTACTAGGGTCTGAGGATGTTCAAAAGATCTCAGCCTTGCTGGAAAAAAATTTGTCAACATATGTCATAAAAGCTAGAAAAGAAAAGAAAACATGATTCAAATGTTCTGTGTAATTTTGTTCACAACATCTATGGAAAATATACTACACAAGAAAATGTGGATAAATATGTTATAGTTTATACACTGGATGGAACATATAAAAATAAAATAGCATCATTTAAATAGAAGAAAAATATTTCTAATAGAATGCATGACAAGAGTAAGCTACACAACAGTATTAAAGATATCACCTTTTTATTTGTTTAAACAAAACTTGAAGGAATTTGACTGGCTGCAATTATGCAATGGACTCCGTTGCTCTTATAAATGACATTCTGGACCAAAGATTTTGTTGGTTTTTTTGTTGTTGTTTTGTGCCATACTTGATGATGCTCAGAGGTTATTCCTGGTTCTGCATTCAAGAATCAGTGGTACTCAGGGGACCATATGGGATGCAGGGGCTTGAACTCAGGTTGGCTACATACAAGGAAAATACCCTACCTGCTGTACTGTCTCTTGGACCCCACAGATATTTTTTAAAGCACATATATTTAAGCAAACACTTATCAACAGGTAAGATGGGTAAGAAGCAAAATTTTATTGTTCTTGACATAGCTGGGAAGATGGTAAAAATAATTTACATAAATTTAGCTCCTTAAAGCATTGAAGAACCAGAACTCTGAAGGCAACAAGCAACATAAAATTTCTCTCCCCAAAGTTATGATGCTATGTAGCTACAGACGGTCTCTACACAATTACCTTCATCTTAATAAAGTATGTTCAAGGCTACTAGCAATGATGTTAGTGTTGTGGCTAGTCCCTACTTACTAAAATTATGATATATGACCTACCTGTGCCAAAATATACAGTTCTATAAAGTTATAAGTATCTTGTTATAGTAGTTTATGTGACAATGCTAATTCAATGCATCAAAAGTCCATCTCCCAACTTTCCCCCAGAGACAGTTTCTATGGAGTTTTTGTGTTTTGTTGGGGAGGGAGTAATCTAGACTGAGTGTCCTCCTGTGGGCATCACCATTACAGATATTAAAGCAACGTTAAAAGTTAAATCTAGCTAATAGAAAAGAAATTTAAAAAAGATACTGCTTTTCTTCATTCCTGATCTTTTTTAACAATAAAATAATCATTTTTGTTTAATATTTAAAAAAATTCTTATTCTTACTTAAATTTTGAAACTAGATGGTTCAGCTCTAATAAAATACAAAGGTATAGAAAAGTGTTGTTTAATTTCCTAAGATCTATTGTACTGCCAATAAATGAGATGTTAGAATTCATATGGATTATGACAGGAGAGATATGAAGTGAACTCGATATGGATTTCAGTCATGTGATCTTCAAGACTCACATTAAAATGTATTACAATGAAACATGATATTTTTTTTCAACTGGACTAATAATTATTAGATTAAGTATTCCTCCTCCGCTGAAAGAACTGGCTTTTTGCTCTTAAATCTAATAAAGGAATTAATTTTATCCCTGATACATTTTATTCTATTTCAGACCACCTATTGTGGTTTATTGACAATAAACTAATGTATATGATTTATCTGTCAATCTTTTGAAATAGTGAACAAAACCATGACTCATTATAAGTCCTCTTTTCCAGAGCTTTGTCTGGGAAAGTTTTCAGTGTCTCTTATATCAGAGAAGGTAGCTGTACTGGGTAAGACTAAAATCACTGAGAAAAGAGAAACACTGTGCAGTCAGAGGTAACTGTGTCATGGAATAAGTATGAGTATCTGTGCTTTAAAAATATCTGCCAGTTTCTACAACTTTGAATAAACTCCATTGCTTAGTCTACCTTTTATCTTTCTTCACAGTATGACTTTTATTTTACTTTGAGGATAATTACTTTTATTTTAAAAGTCATATACTTTTATTTTAATTTGAGGATAATTAAAAATTATATAGTTTTTAGACCATGTGAATAAATTTTAGATTGTAATGAACTTTATTTGAACTTAGTAATCCAATTTTTAATTGTTAACATTTCATATTGAACACAGTATACAGTGAAAAAAATTTTAAACTTCCTGAAAAATATGACAATTCTAAACATGGCAATATATCTCAAAGCAGCTGAAGCCTTTACATGCATGAGTTCTGAAGTTAGATTTCTGGCACCCAGAGCACTGGGTAGGGCATCAAACCTAGACTCCACTGCTGGGCAGAGCAGATTGGGATACTCATCTACCGCTGATTTACTTTCTTCATTCTCCTTTGGTTACTCACAAAGAAACAAGTGTCTCTTCTGTGTCATCATTCTTATAAAATTTCTAGCATGTATTTTTATTTAATTTTACAGTGACTGATGCACAATTCAGAACAGTGATCTGTAGGCTCTCTCATTTGTAGATGCATTGACCAATAATAGATAAGGGTCCTCACTTTGCACTGTTCTGAGCACGATTGACAATTTACAAGCATTCATCAAATGGGTGAATGTTGTCTGGAATGCAAGCAGTGAGTTCTAGTCACTGTGGAGCCTTATTAGCCCATTGCCTCACCTTTTGTTATGACGACTCTTTTTGTGCCAATCACTCTCCTCTCAAACTTTTCTCACCTCACTTACTTAAAAAACAATTTTTTGAGGGGTCCACACTTGACTATTCTTAGGACTGACTCCTAGGTCTGAGCTCAGAGGTCAATTCTGCTGGAGCTCAGGGAACCATATGGGGTGCTGGGGAATCTAACTCAGGTTGATCACATGCAAAGAAAGTGCCCTGCCCACTGCACTATAAGTCTGGCCCCATTTTACTTCATTTATACTGATCAAATTGTGGATGTGGTTCATAGTTCAACAAAAGTGTTGCTTCACATATCTGTTGTTATATTACATAAAGCAGTTTTATAATTGCTCCTTATATTTTTACACATTAGTTTTGAATCTAACATTGATATGACATTGGTTTTAAAAAGGTTTTATTGTCTCATTTTCATGGATAAGAAAAAACTGTGGTTTATGGAACTGGTGTGGTAGTACAGTAGAGCTTTGACTTTGTAAGTGACTGACCCAGATTTGATCCCTGGTACTCTTATGGGTTCCTGAGCCACCCAGAAGTGACCTCTGGGCTCAGGGCCAGTAGTATACCCTGAGAACTGCTGGGTGTAACCCCAAAAGCAAAATAATAAAAGAAGAAAAGAAACTGTATTAAAGATATTTTTATAATATTTAATGTCTTAAAAATGAAGCAATATAGATTTGAACCAGATTTTTTCTGATGTCTAAATTAAAATTATTTTCCATCATATTACTTCCAAACTAACTTCCTTGCATAAAATGTCACTTTCCATACTTTTTTAGGTTCCTAAGTCAGACAGAATCATCTCCTCTGTCATTGGAGATATTAGAGCACTTTAAATTTTGCATCTCTCTTATAGCTCATGTGTGCTATGTGCTCTTAAATTATGTATTAATTATTATATAATTATATAAATGTACATGTATAGTGTGCCACCTTTTTTTACTTAGAATGTTAGGTTATGAAGGCATGACTTACATTCTACACATTTTTTGATATTACAGTACCCTATTCATAAGAGCTTTATAAAGTAAGGATGCTATTTTTCTAGAGAATGAGAAAATAAATGTAATGGATTCCTTATTATTAATTATTAATATTTTGTTTATGTGTTAGTTTTTATAATTTAGTATTATATTATCTTGCACGAATATAAAGAAAGGGTCACACCCTACATACAGGTATAAGGAGTTAATAGGTGGATGTAGATTCAGCTTTCCTGTCCAGGTCCCCTGGACAAAGTCTTGGCAGCAGAAAGTTTCCCTAGAGTCAGAAGAGGATGAACTAGCCTCTTGGGAAGAAGATGTGGACCAAATTACAGGGTGTATTAAATATATTCTCCTGCTTTCTTTCCTGCCTTTTTGTACTGGTACTGCAATACCTACGCTGCAGAAAGTAGAGTTCAGACATCAATCTCTTGGGAATAGAAAATCTATGTAACAATCTACTTTGCCATACATAGATTAAATGTCTGAACATTTTTTTGTGCTCAAAAACTAGTTGTGTGGACTCCAGTGAGAGATTGAAGGTACCAGGTAAGTTTTGCTGGTTCCTGTCGAAAGTCACAAGAAAGATAAAGATATTTGAGGAGATCTATGCAAACACCGTTAGCAGATAGAAGAAAAGCCGTTTTCAAGAATATTTGTGGAAATGATAATTTAGCACATATGTACCCAAGATTGGGATAATATAGGCAGGCATGGGATTTTTACTGGACCAAGGCACAAAAAAATAGACATATTTTCACCAGAAAAGTCTTTTGGTGGCATTGCAGTGTTTTGTTGAAAAGAAAAATATATACACTATAAGACAAATGATTTCTTTACCCAAATATAATGAAAACTCTAGAACTCAATGCTTTCATTCTAAAAATGAAGTAAGAGAAGTAAGAGAGAATTCAAAATATGTACACTATAAGACAAATGATTTCTTTACCCAAATATAATGAAAATTCTAGAACTCAATGCTTTAGTTCTAAAAATAAAGTAAGAAAAGTAAGAGAGAATTGTGCATCTCTCCACGTTTCACAATAGAGCCTGTAAAAAATATTCATTGTAAAATGTGGAGAATACAGTTGTGCTTAAATATATAAAATCAATATGTTAGAGAGAAGACCATGAAAAAATTATAAATGATATCCTGTCAGAGCACTTTAAAGATACTATAATTATATTCTCAGGAAATGTGGTTATCACATTTTCCTAGAAGCAGAGAAATATGAATAACAGAATAAGATAAACAGTAGTATGTTTATATAAACATATGTAAGCAGCATATATGAGTTTACTAAATACATGTTAGCAGAAAGAGTATTATCACGGGCCAATTCCCCTATTAAGTACTTACTGGTGCATATCACATTTACTTTTATAGCAAATTGGAAATTAGTCATTATTAATATAATTGTATATTAATAGAAATAGATATGAAGTATGTTATTGATAAATATTCTCTTTAGGATGACATAGGTAATGAACTTTCTCCTAAAAATCAGTAATTTTAACAGGTGTGTACAAAGCTAGGTGTGTGGAAAATTGTGCCGCTTACATTAAAAATATGGAATTTTATTTTTCTTAAAGCAAAATCTCTATACTTTCGCTATTGGGACAGAAACAAGGGAAAACCTACTTTCTGAACCAGAGATTTTTCCAAAGTGAGATATTGGGTCAAGGATCAAGATCAGAACTGCTCACTGTTGGTCTGCCTCATTGATAAAGGAGCTGGTCGGGAAGCTGGATAAGATAAAGTCTCTTTCTGCCCTGCAATTATACTAAACTCTGCCACCATATGCTGTTATGGAAAAGAGACAGTGGCACCAATATTAGGAATTTTAGTACTTTATTCTTCTGTCCCTTTTCATGAATCACGGTCAGAATATAGAATATTTGTAGTCCAATTAAATAACCTTATTTGACCTACCGCTCTCTATGTGCTTGATGGGAATATGGTGACAAGTTGATTGGCAGAGAATAATATGAAGGTAGGACCTGAGTTCTGTCTTTGTGGAATAGCATGGTATTTAATAAAAATATGTCATTTAATTTTTTAAGTAATTACTCCTCATGACATATTTCCTTTAATACAGTTTAAGTAATTGGGCTATCTCACATATAATTCTTTCCTTTGGTGTTAGATTATTTTTCTAAATTTATATTCATAAGCTTTCTTGCCTCCTTTCACTTACTTGATTAGGTAGAACTGAGAACAATGGCTGATTTTTAAAAGACCTAACCTACCAAATGACCAGAGACTGTCAGACAACCATAGACTCTTCGGTGTCCTTAGATACCACAGATATGATTGGCATGGAAGTATGTTATATGTACAAGTTGGGATTGTGCCCAAAGATGTATAGACTAAGGGGTCCATGCTTTGTGCTGGTGAATATACTGAGGATAGTATTACTTTGCCTCTGATTTACTTCTGTGAGTTGCAGAGGTCCTAGAAATTAGATAATTTATGTATTATTGCATATTCATTTAATATTTTTGTGCTAGTCAGTCACTATTCCAAAAATTGTGATCATAGTCTAGAAGGACAGAGTTTTGAGTTTTGAATGGTAAAGCACAGTAAGAAAAAAATTTCACTGCATGAGGGATGATGCACTGGGAGCAAATGCTGTTCAGGTACATGACACAGATTGGATGAGATCTTTCTTAACTGGAATCTTTAATCAGCAGACAAGGACTGAACAATGGATTTAATAGAAGAAGGGAAGAATATACACAAAGTACAAAGTTATTATAGATAGCTAGAGAGATAGATAAGTGGGTTGAAGAATATTTTGTACACAGAAGGATATTTTGGATTTGATTCCTGATATATTTCCCCTTAGTTCTGAACCAGAAGTAGCCCCTAAACACCAGTAGGTATAGCCTCAAGCCAATTATATCACGATCACGATCATCCTGTTGTTCGTTGATTGCCTCGAGCAGGCACCAGTAACTCTTGTCTCCTTCATCCTAGCCCTGAGATTTTAAAGTGCCATATTCAAGGCTCTTTCAGGGCTAGGAGAATGAGACCCATCATTGTTACTGGTATTTGGCATATTGGGTACGCCACGGAGAGTTTGCCAGACTATTATATATATATATATATATATATATATATATATAGGTAAAGGTAAAGGCCCTCCCGTTGATCGTCGATTTGCTCGAGCGGGTCCAGTAACGTCTCCATTGGAGACTTTGTTGTTACTGTGTCTGGCATATCGAATACTCTCAGTAGCTTGCCGGTCTCTATATATTCTTCACCCAGGGCTGGTGAGGATGAGCAGTGGTGGCGACTTCAGCTCCCCACTGCTGCTCGCAGGCTTCAGCAGGGCGCTCCTGATGACCAACACCAGTACCCACTTTGGGGAGTCAGGGCAGAACTCTTGGCAAGCTACCAAGAATATCCTGCCTGCATGGCAGAACCTGGCAAGCTCCCCATGGTGTATTCAATATGCCAAAAACAGTAACAATGATGAGTCTCATTTCCCTGGCCCTGAAAGAGCCTCCAATGCGGCACCGTTGGGAAGGAAGAGTAAGGAGAGTCTGCTAAAATCTCAGGGCTAGGATGAATGGAGATGTTACTGGTGTTACTGACATTACTGGCACCCACTCGAGCAAATCAATGAACAACGGGATGGGATGACAGTGATACAGTGATACAATAATATATATATATATGTGTATATATTATATGTCTATAGGAGTCATTAGATAAAAAATTAATAGGATGTGTCTAGAACATGGAATACCATTTATAGGTTCATAACAATAAGGCTAGACAAATAGGGATTAAAATATGTAGTGCTCCTCTATGTAGTAGCAAAAGCATTTCCATTTTCTTTTCTAAAGGCAATGGAGACTTATTAAGGGATGTCTCAAGTGACTATCACTTTATAATATTCATAGACTATGCTGAAGAAACTGACAAAAGGAAGATAATGAAAATTCAAATATTAAACTCAAGGAACATTTTCTGAAGCAATATCTCCCATGTTTCCTTATAGAGGAAAACCTCTATGTCCTGTGATTTATTAATTAAACAAAGATCTGGAATCAACAACAGGGAGATTTGTAGTCTAAGTTCATTGACAAGGAAACTCAGAAGAGAGTGAGAGAAGTAATACTACGTCTTTTGTCAGGTGAGTGAGTGGTGTGGAAATCACTGTGATTCTTGAAACTTCATTATAATAAATTGACAGAAATGTATCCATCACAATTGGAAGGATTCCATACTCCAAATGAAAAGAAGTTACTTTTTAGTTTCATTCATAACAAAGACTGATTTGATAACTTATATTGGTCTCCTGTCTGATACACAGTTAACTCCATCAGTTGTGTCATTATCATAGAAGATTCCTGTACTTCTCAGTGCTGTTGTCATGCTGGAGAAAAACATCACTCTGGTCAGTGAATTCATCCTGGTGGGCTTTCCCACTGCCCCATGGTTACAGATTCTACTCTTTTTTCTCTTCCTTGTGGTCTACCTATTGGTGATAGCAGAGAATCTCATCATCATGCTTACTGTTTGGGTCACTGGCTCCCTCCATAAACCCATGTACTATTTTCTGTGTAGTTTGTCCTTTCTGGAAGTCTGGTATGTATCTGTTACAGTTCCTAAAATGTTGGATGGATTTCTCCTGCAGAGACGGCGCATCTCCTTCACAGGGTGCATGGCTCAGCTCTACTTTTTCATCTCACTTGCCTGCACAGAATGTGTGCTCCTAGCCGCCATGGCCTATGACCGCTATGTAGCCATCTGCCACCCTCTCCAATACCCAGTCATCATGACTACTGGTTATTGTCTACAGCTGATGGCTTTCTCCTATTTCAGTGGTTTTATGATCTCCGTCATCAAAGTCTACTTTATTTCTCATGTTGCCTTCTGTGGCTCCAATGTTATGAATCACTTTTTCTGTGACATCTCACCAATCCTCAAACTGGCCTGCAAAGACATGTCTACAGCTGAGTTAGTGGACTTTGCCTTGGCTATTGTCATTCTTGTCTTCCCTCTTATTACTACTGTCCTCTCCTATGTCTACATTGTCTCCACCATTCTACGTATACCCTCCACCCAAGGAAGGAAGAAGGCCTTCTCCACTTGTGCATCTCACCTCACTGTAGTCATCATCTATTACACAGCCATGATTTTTATGTATGTTCGCCCCAGAGCTATTGCATCCTTTAATTCCAACAAACTGATCTCTGCTGTGTATGCTGTCCTCACACCTTTGCTAAATCCTTTCATTTATTGCCTTAGGAACCAGGAAGTCAAGAATGCTATCAAGAAGACCGTTGGGGGTTAAAAAATGTCTTCTGCTAAGCTAAACTCTGTCATGTGGAGGAAGTGACAATGTCCCATGAAGATTGCATTCCTATAATTCTTATTATGACTTTTTATCTTAGTGTATCTCTATAGATAAAGATTCTTAAATCACAAGCTGGAAAGAGAAAAAGTAATGGAAATAGGATACTGTTTCTATTATATATGGTTTTACCATTAAATTATTTTAACATGTACTATATATAGTTAAAATTATTTTGAAATCACAAATGATAAATATTGACCAAAACTTATACATGTTCATTATAATAATAAACAATTTTATTCTAATTATTGTCATAGGTGATAGCACAATGGTAGGGTGTTTGCCTTGCATGCAGCCCCAACCGACCCAGGTTCAATTCTTCTGTCCCTCTCGGAGAGCCTGGCAAACTACCGAGAGTATCTCGCCTGCACGGCAAAGCCTGGCAAGCTACCCGTGACATATTTGATATGCCAAACACAGTAACAACAAGTCTTACAATGTTGTTAGGCCCGCTCGAGCAAATTGATGAGCAACGGGAGGACAGTGACAGTGACAACACCTCTATGAGTTAATTATTATTACGTATATAATTTAACAGATTAACTCCGCACGGCAGAGTCTGGCAAACTTCCCGTGTCGTACTCAATATGCCAAATACCAGTAACAATGATGGGTCTCATTCTCCTAATCCTGAAAGAGCATTGAAATGGCTCTTTTAAAATCTCAGGGCTAGGAAGAAGGTGATGGTATTGATGCCTGCTCGAGGAAACCAACAAACAACAGGATGATTGTGATCGTGATCGTGAATTTAACAGATCAGGGAACTTATGAGAACACAAAGAAGTTAAATAAGCTGACTAAGAATTAGAGAGCTCAGGAGGTAAGACACTTGCTGTGACTGGTTTGAATTACTGGCACCATATATAGGCTTCTGAACACCACTAGAGGTGACTCCTAAGCAGAGAGCAAGAATAACCCCTGAGCACTGCCAGATGTGTCCCCCCCAAAAAAAATGAAGCAAAAGCTTCCAAGATTGCACACTTACTATATTAATTTTTTTTAATACAAGCAGCTTAGCACTATAGTATGTTGTTTAGATTTGATCTGGGTCCGCTCGAGCAAATCGATGAACAACGGGAAGACAGTGCTACAGACAGTCTTTAATAGTTCTAGAGGCATATTAGTTAATAAATACTTATAACTGAAGATTACAAATAATCCAGTCAGTAATGTATGTATAGATGCCATGATAATTGATAATGGAGTGGTAATGGTGATAAATGATAGTATTGATGAATATTATTTGCATTTAAATTGTGTTAGTGGTGACAAGCAACAATTAATATTAAATAAGAATGCTGATCATTGCATATTACTACTTCTAGGATTTTTTTTCCTTCTTTCAGATTAGCTAATTTCTTAACATAAGAGCAGAATTAAACTTTTTTGTAAGAGAGAAAAAGATCCAGTATTATGTCAACTTTGGCAGTTGCTGTCTTTTTGGGTACTTTCTTTGGACACAAAATTTTATGACTATCAGCAAATTAATGAACATCATACATGAGCATATAGATCTGCACTAAGATCTGTGTGCCTAAAGTAGGTAAAGGAAAAAACATAATAACCTCTCAATTTCTGTATTGCAAACGATAATGTCCAAAAGAAGGAGAGAAAGAGAGAGAGAGGCTGGGAGAGAGACAGAGACAGAGTCAGAGAGAAAGACAGAGAGGAAAATTGGGGGCTGTCAGGAGGAAAGCTGGGGTGAATGATATCATGCAATATTTGTTTTTCACCCTCTGCTGCCTTCCTTTGAATTTAGATACGAAATTTTGTAACAAACAATGGGTGGGGAAAGAGAATAAGGGGTGTGTGTACACAGATAGAGTACAGCAGTAAGGTGCTTGTTGTGCCATGGCTGACCTGGATTTGATCGACATTATCACATAAGGTCTCCTGAGCATACCCAGGAGTGATCCCTGAGCATCAAGGCAGGACTAAGCCCTAAGCACAGCTGAATGTGGACCCCTTCCCTGCCAAATAGTGGGAGGGTCTGAGAATAAGAGTGATCAGACCATAAGGTCAGTGGTGGAGGGTCACAGGCACTTCAGTGGTGGTGATGTGCAAAACTTCGTGCATCAATTCTATAACATTTGACACTGTTGTAACCATATTACCTAGACTACAATATAGTTTTTTTTTAATAAAGTTTGTATGTTTAAAAAGAAGAAAATCTAAGAGTCAAAAGAAATAAGAGCACACTCAAATAACTAAAAGGTGTTTCTTATAAAAATGATAATTTTTTTGACAATTTAGAGAGCTATGAGAAGTTGTTACAGAAGAAAGTAGTTTCTTACTGATTGTGAATTTCCTCTCACAATGTAGGTGATATAGATGGGACCCGGACCCCAGCTGCGTCCTTCGTCCTCCCTCACTTGCCAAATCTCCCCATCCCACCTCATCCCCTCCCGCCCGCCCCACCACACTGCATGTGGACAGGGGAAGCTGCCCTCCTGGCTCCCTGTCTGGTACTTCTCAGCCACATGCTCCAGGAACAGCTGGGGGCTCCTTGCCAAGTCTGGGAGTCCCCTTGCTTGTTGGTGCCTCCGCTGGAGATGGGGGAGCAGATAGTCCCTGCTTGTGCCCTCGTTTCACTGCAGAGTTCACACTGATTTCCCCACAGACTTTCAACCATAACCACTAGCTCTTCTGTCTGCGGCCTGGACGGGCAGGGACCCCAGGCTTGTCCCCTCTCTTGTAGAAACCAGTCACTCCTCAGTCCCTCCTCCTGTTCTATGTCTTGCCCCTCCGAGTCACTTCTTCAGGATGGTGGGCAGGTCCCCCCACCCGCCCTTTTTTTACACTGGTAACTTTTAAGAGAACACTCCAGGAACTAGTACCAGAGGCACTGAGGCATGGGTTGGGGGTCACCTGTTTCCTTACAGAGAAACCCCAAATAATAAAGGAAAAGAGCCCCCATCCCCAATCCCCAAAAAACAATATAGGTGATATAGATTCATGTGTATATAATGAGCCATTGAGAGGCATTTTCAGCTTCTGCAAGAATGAATCTTGAACTCAGTGCATCTACCAGGAAAATAAGGCAGTTACTGACAGAAGTAGGGACAAGGTGACTTGACTGATTGATCACTCAGCCTTCGCGACAGAGCTCTTCCATTCTGAGAGACAGATGTCAATTCCCACTGGATTGAGTTCTTCTAGAACTAAAGTTAAACTTGCTCTTCTTGCTCTTGAATCTGCAATATCAGCCACAGTGCCTGGCAATGGGGCTGAATATCTTTTTTTTCCACCTCCCACTTCTTTATATTGTTTAGCTGCTTCTAGGACTTAAAGGAATTGATGCATCACTCTGACTTTGTTGCCTTCTTAACTTCCAATTTGCTGGGCCAATTGAAGGCAACAAGAGGAAACTGAGGAAAAGAGATAACAAAGGGTTCTTCCCTTTTCCATTGTTTCAAAACCAGCTCCAACTATAACTCCTGCAACTGAGGTGCCCTTTCAAGGCTGCAGTATGAGTTTCTGCACTGTCCAAATGTGGGTCAACACCCTTCTTGGTTGTCTTCACTTTGCTCAACCTCAGTGAATAATTGTAGCACTGAACTGTAGCACTGTCCTCCTGTTGTTCATCGATTTGCTTGAGTGGGCACCAGTAATGTCTCCATCGTGAGACTTGTTGTTACAGTTTTTTCCATATCAAATATGCCCCAGGGAGCTTGCCAGCCTCTGCCCTGTGTGTGGGATACTCTTGGTAGCTTTCTGGGCTCTCTGAGAGGGATGGAGGAATCGAATCCAGGTCTGCCTCATGCAAGGCAAACACCCTACCTACTGTGCTATTGCTCCAGTGAATAATTATGACAATTAGTTCTACTCAAAAATTCGATCAGGGGCCTAGAGAGATAGCACAGCGGGTAGGGTGTTTGCCTTGCATGTGGCCCACCCGGGTTCAATTCCCAGCATTCCATATGGTCCCCTGAGCACCACCAGGAGTAACTCCTGAGTGCAGAGCAGGAGTAGTCCCTGTGCATCGCCAGGTGTGACCCAAAAAGCAAAAAAAAATTCTATCAGGTACACTTTTGTTTCTTATGGAATCCCAAATGATAAGACAGTAGACATGGAAATACATTTCAATGGAGTGTTTTGAATAAAAACAGCTCCATAAGGGCCCACAGGATTACATTTTCAAGTAGTTCTCTATAAAGAACATTTAATTTTCTTCCACCCATATGATGTCAAATGGGATTCATTCTGCAATCTCTGAATAAACACATTTAGCAAATATAAACTTAGGTGCTGAATATATTATGTCCAACTTTACTACCATTCTTTTATAATCTGTTGAAGTAAATTTACTGCACAGAACATACCCTGTATTTTCCCCCTTTTAGTTTCTACTTCTCTTCACGATCACGATCATCCTGTTGTTCGTCGATTGCCTTGAGCAGGCACCAGTAACGTCTCCTTCACCCTTGCCCTGAGATTTTTAAAAGTGCCATATTCAAGGCTCTTTCAGGGTTAGGAGAATGAGTTCCATCATTGTTACTGGTATTTGGCATATAGGGTATACCACGGGGAGTTTGTCAGACTCTGCCGTGTGGGCATGTTACATTCGGTAGCCTGCCAGGTTGTCCAAAGTAAGAATGAGATAATAAGCATTCGCCTGCGCCTTTCCGGGAGCTAGGTTTTATAGTCTCTGGGTCTTGGCTGTTGATGGGATTACACGGCGCTGGGGGGTAGTTGGTGGCTGTGACCCCTGCCTACTGAAAGGTGGAGGATTGAGTGGAGGATGCTCAGCCCCAATCAGAGCAGGCTTGGAGATCTCAGCCCTGGGACCCGCATGCCTTTGTTCCTCTGCGGTTACCTTCATGCGTGTGGAGAGTGGTCTCAGCATAGTTGTGGCTGGTTCTGGAGGTCTTTGACTGCCGGGGCTCTGCTTGAGGCGGGGAGGGAAGCTCAACCCACCCCCCTCCAAGGGGCCCCGG